CACAGGGGCCAGAATTTCAGCATACCTCCCTCAGAACACGAAGGGGTATTCCGTCCGGTCCAGGCACCTTACTCACATTCAACCTGGATAACACACCAGTAACCCTGCGAGTGGAGATCATACGGAAGTGCATAGTTTCAGTAGCAGGAGTAGGAATTATAGAGTTGGAATCGTCTAAGATGGTATTAAAGGAGATTAAAGTGCCAAAGAGATTGGCTTTATCAGGGGGAGAGTGGCTATAGAGTTATCAGGTAGGAAGAGAGGGAGTGCAGAAGTTATTACAGATGTTTTTGGTTAAGGACCAGTAGGATTTACAAGAAGAAGTGTTAGTCAGGTCAGCGGTCTTTCTTTTTATTAAATTCCGATTGGCCCTGTGAAATATAACCTTACAACGATTCTTAGAAGTAATGAAAGAGGAGTGGGTAACAGGAGGAGATAGTTTCATAACGTGATACGCCCTATCTCTCTCCCTACATGCACGAGAACAGGAGCGATCAAACCAGGACTGTAAAGTGAAAGTTTTGGTAGAAGATGGGATAAATGCACTCATACTACCGAGTATAACCGCAGCAATGCTGTCAGCACATACTGAGGCATCTAGAGTAGAAAAGCAACATTCATCCCGGGGAAAGTTGGAGAAGAATTCTTGTAAGGATTGCCAGTTTGCCCTCCGATAGTGCTATGGCATTTAGAGGAGGGTGGGGTAGGTAGGCAGAAATTTAGTATGAATACTGTAGTGTGAGGGGTTAGAGGTAAAACAAAGATCGAGAATGTTAGTAAGCTGATCGTGTCGATCTGGAACACGTGTAGGAGTTTAATTATTTGTTCCAGATCATTATGTAAGGAAAAAGAGAGTGCCTCAGCTCCACCTGGGTCATCCCTTGCAGAGCCAAGCCACTCTCTGTGACATACATTAAAATCCCCTGGGTAGAGGATCTGGGTGTTGGGGTGTGGATAGCAACGACTTTTAGCAAGAAGTGACATAGTCAAAGAGTTCCAAATACAGGTTGTACCTCTCTAGTCCGGCAACCTCGGGACCTGACCGGTGTCGGACCATGGAAATTGCCGGACCATGGAAATTCACCCTTTTCCTGGATAGATAGTGACTTGTGCTTATGCCTGGAAGCACTAGCACCACTTTCTCTTCGTCATGGTCTCTTTGAAGACATATTGAAGGGTTAAATGTCGTATAGTAGCTTCTCAAATTTCGCGAGTTTTTAATTCTTAACGTATTTTATTGGAACACAAAAAAATAAATAAATAAAAATTTTGACGGCGGAAACTTGAATTTCGACGGGTTTGAACGGCCCGCCAACGTGCAGACGACGTGCATAATCGTGTAAACAGCGTCATTTCTCTTATGTACAAAAGATTCATTATTGTTTATTACTGAATGTCTTTTTTATTGAATTAATGTTTATGTGTGCAAAATGAGCAATACAATTCATTAATAATACGTAGAATATTAAAACACACGAGGAAATGACACAGCATTGTTTTTGTTGATTACAAAACCAGTGACTGACTGGTTCTACATATAAAACTGAAGAAAATAAGACCTTGGTTGTAGCTGTAGTAAAATTAATATGGTTGTTTTAAGTAATGTTATTTAATGTTAATAAATGGAACAATAGAAGTAGCTAACGATAATGGTAAAGAAAAAGAGAGATCGCATATGTAAGTGCGCATGCGCACACGTGAAAACATATCGTCATTACTTTACATAAGAATATGAAAGCAACACTTATTTACTGTTCATATATATTTTAATTAATGTTTCTGAATTTGTTTTTATTGAATTAATGTACGTGTGTGCAAAATTAACAATACAATTTATTAATAATACGTGGAATATTAGAGGAGACGAGACGGCTGCCGGCATTGTTTATGTTAAAGCTTACGAAACCAGTGACTGATTGGTTCTACATATAAAACTGAAGAAAATAAGACCCTGAGTTTAGCTGTACCGGTAGTAAAATTAATGTAAAAAATGAATATGGTTGCTTGAAGTACCTGTCATGTTATTTAATGTTAATAAATGGAACAATATAAGTAGCTAACCATTAATGGTAAAAAAAAAAAGTGAGACCGGTCGTATGTAAGTGCGCACATGTGAAAATATATCGTCATTACTCTACATAAGAATATGAAAGCAACACTTATTTACTGCTCATATATATTGAAGGGTTAAATGTTGTACTCTGTATAGACAAGCAGAGAGAGAGAGAGAGAGAGAGAGAGAGAGGAGAGAGAGAGAGAGAGAGAGAGAGAGAGAGAGAGAGAGAGAGAGAGAGAGAGGAGAGAGAGAGAGAGAGAGAGGAGAGAGGGAGAGAGAGAGAGAGAGAGGAGAGAGAGAGAGAGAGAGAGAGAGAGAGAGAGAGAGAGAGAGAGAGAGAGAGAGAGAGAGAGAGAGAGAGAGAGAGAGAGAGAGAGAGAGAGAGAGAGAGAGAGAGAGAGAGAGAGAGAGAGAGAGAGAGAGAGAGAGAGAGAGGAGAGAGAGAGAGAGAGAGAGAGAGAGAGAGAGAGAGAGAGAGAGAGAGAGAGAGAGAGAGAGAGAGAGAGAGAGAGAGAGAGAGAGAGAGAGAGAGAGAGAGGAGAGAGAGAGAGAGAGAGAGAGAGAGAGAGAGAGAGAGAGAGAGAGAGAGAGAGAGAGAGAGAGAGAGAGAGAGAGAGAGAGAGAGAGAGAGAGAGAGAGAGAGAGAGAGAGAGAGAGAGAGAGAGAGAGAGAGAGAGAGAGAGAGAGAGAGAGAGAGAGAGAGAGAGAGAGAGAGAGAGAGAGAGAGAGAGAGAGAGAGAGAGAGAGAGAGAGAGAGAGAGAGAGAGAGAGAGAGAGAGAGAGAGAGAGAGAGAGAGAGAGAGAGAGAGAGAGAGAGAGAGAGAGAGAGAGAGAGAGAGAGAGAGAGAGAGAGAGAGAGAGAGAGAGAGAGAGAGAGAGAGAGAGAGAGAGAGAGAGAGAGAGAGAGAGAGAGAGAGAGAGAGAGAGAGAGAGAGAGAGAGAGAGAGAGAGAGAGAGAGAGAGAGAGAGAGAGAGAGAGAGAGAGAGAGAGAGAGAGAGAGAGAGAGAGAGAGAGAGAGAGAGAGAGAGAGAGAGAGAGAGAGAGAGAGAGAGAGAGAGAGAGAGAGAGAGAGAGAGAGAGAGAGAGAGAGAGAGAGAGAGAGAGAGAGAGAGAGAGAGAGAGAGAGAGAGAGAGAGAGAGAGAGAGAGAGAGAGAGAGAGAGAGAGAGAGAGAGAGAGAGAGAGAGAGAGAGCAGCCGAACTGCCGGATGTAAACAAACCTTAATTTCCCGCGGCTGTTTTTTTTTTTAAGGGGATTAGCCCACCCGGGCATAGGTCACTGACCACATTGGGGCCTGAGGGGCAAAAATTTAATACTCCTGTAATAATAATAATTCAGATAAGTAAAAAAAAAAAAAAAAAAGTTGCCTATCTACCTATTGGACAAACTAAAATCGTTCTGGACCACGGGAGTTTCCGGACCACAGAATGCCGGACTAGAGATGTACAACCTGTAGTTGGTAGAGTTGGGAGAGCAGTATAGGAAACAAAGAAAAACTGTCAAAATTGGTAGAGATATTCTGAGCCAGATGACATCATAAAGAGAAGATTCAAGATCTGTGAGTCGAGCTATAGGTGTAAGTGTGTTGCAGTAGGCACATACACCTCCCTTAGAACAGAAAGAGGTATAAAGGTTGTAGTTGGAGACTTGGAAAGGTTTGGGTGAAACTGCTTTGGTCAGTTGAATTTCAGATAGTAGTAAGAGGTCGGGGAGGAGGTTAATAAATGGTGTTCCACAGAAGAAAAATTGGATCTGAAGCCACGAATGTTGGAAAAATGAAGTGGGAAAAAAAAAAAAGATCCTCCAGCAACCGCGATGATGTCAGTCCCCAGTAATTTGATGATGATCAGATTAAGCATGGGGTCCACAACTTTCCTGACCAGTGGGTCCCATCCGAGAAGGCCCCACTTAAATATTATTGTTAGCTGATTTCATATGAGACTAAAAAAATAGAAAGAATAAAACAGACCAAGAGAGAGAAAAGTTATATATGTTGTGTTGTCAGTAGTAAAAGAGACAATTGAGACCCTGCAATTGTGTGTAAATGAGGTAGAAGGACAGATCAGCAACCTGGGGCCTGTCACAATTTTTGTGATGCGATATGGCAGCAGGGTCTACCATCAGACAACACGTTATGCTTCCAATATCTTCCCAGGCGGTTGTACCTCCCTGTTTGGTAGCAGGCTAACTAAAATAATACACCTTCCCTCTATGAATAGATCTGACAAACTGACTTTGTGACTGCCTTCCCACCCAAGTTCCCCGGCTCATAATAAATTTTCAAATACAGTACATGCAGTGCATTCATATTAATTCATTAACTTTATATTCTGGTAACATGTCATGGGACCAAAACAAAAGAAGAAATATGTATTTTTTTTTCACTCAGGTCAACTAAGATCAAAGGAACACAGAGTTTCAGTAAACATCACTGGCCGGAAGGCTTCAGTACACGAGTCTTGAATGATAACAATTCTAAAATGATCATAAGTGTAATTCTGCCAGCTGGAGGGGTGCGGAGGGTGAGTCCTTAACCGTTTTCAGTTCAAATTGTGTTAATATGTTTGTGTTTCTATGAAGAAAAATTTAATAATTCCTCCATTACTCTTTATTTCTTAAGCACCCCGAGGCCAGCTCATGCATCCCGCACCACAGTTTGTGAAACGCTGGATTAAATTAAGTTAGGCTAAGTTAGGTTAGGTCAGGTTAAGTTAGGTTTGGTCAGATTAAGTTAGCATTACATTGGTTAATCTTCAGGAGAAATAAACTGGGTGGTTAATCTTCATGTGATCCGCCCTCCAAAACATGTCAATGTTTCTTGCTGATCCTAATCCAGTACAATACTACAGCATAATTAATCTCTAACAGTGAACAATGTGAAAAAGCTGTAATGAAATGAATCTTGAAGAGAAAGTAACACATATTACTACAAACAATACTAACTTTTTCTAGGTGTTTATCTCGTGCTTCCATTGCCTGTCGAATGCGATTCCGCAGGTATTGTGAGCGTGCAGCCACAAAGACAACATGAGCTGGAATTCTCTGTTCCTCAGGTCCCACCAGGAAGTCAACATCAGTAAATTGTTGACTCTCCAGAAGTTTGCCAAAGTCATCATGTAGGGTACACTTGGGATAACTAGAGAACTGGAGATATAAAATACATAATTTCTAGAACTAGTTCCTTGTTTTATTTTATGACCACAGTGAATATAAACAAATATTGTATTCCAAAATAATACAGAAACCAGCTGTATAACATAAAATGAATTATTATACAGTCATACAATTTATTTAGAATATTAAATTATCCTTAGAAGAACAGTATGAATTATGAAGGGAGTCTCACTTAGCTCATGTCAAATTGCCTTTCATGCTCAATCAGAAAAAGGACTCTCACCTGGAATCGATACATCTCACCACTTCGTACATTATTATCGACAGTACCACCAAACACATACATAGCATCCCCAACCACCGCTGCGGCATGGAAAAGTCGCCCCGATGGAACCTGTGAATCTGGTGCAGGCTGTATCACAGACCAGGTCTGGCTGTCTAGGTCAAAGCTGTTGAAAAATAATTATGTGACAAATTTATATATTTACTGAAATGAGCAGCAGCCAGAGTTGTAAAAAATAATGAACTGTGTTACTTAAGTAAAAGTACAGTGGTCCCTCGGTTAACGAACGCCTCGGGTAACGAAATTTTGGTTAACGAATGCCTCGGTTAACGAAATTTCGGTTAACGAATTACCTTCCATAAGAATCTTCATTTCAGTTAACGAGCAAAAATTCGGTTAACGAAATTCTTACGAAAACGTGTCAACATGTTTTGGCTTGCTCACCAGCTGGAAGATTAGTCCGCCAATACAATAATCGGTTCTGGGGCTTATATTCGTTTCCATAGGAGTAAATATCAACAATGTTGTGTTATTCAATATTTTTCCAAGTTTTATATTAAAATTATTAGTCATTTTAACACTTATTTAACATAATTGCAGTACAGGGAACTAGTTTTTGGTGAGCCCATCAGCCACTTCACTCACCCACCAAGGCTTCAGTTTGTCTCTGTTCAGTGGAGGAAACATCTTGCTTGTGGCTCTCTTGAACACAGAGTATTTTTACCTTTTTACAGTACAATTATTGGCCATTCTGAAATTTATTTAACATATTGATAATATATAGCACAGTGCAGTGTTGATTTAAATAAAATAATCTTTATTTACAGCAATTAAACTTAAAATTTTAGTGTTGAAATTGTTATTGAATCCAGCATGGGTCCAAAGAAATCTAGAAAGGTGATTTCAATCCAGGTAAAACAGGAAATAATAAAGAAACATGAACAAGGCATTAGAACAAATGTGCTTAGTAAAGACTATGGCATGTCGGCATAAACTGTGTCGACAATTCTTGCACAGAAAGACAAGTTAAAAGAAGTGAAAGTGAGAGACAAATCTACCAGAGTGTTTAAAGGTAGATCCTTAATAGCAGAAACGGAGAGGTTACTTCTCATTTGGATTAAGGAGAAACAAATGAAAGGAGATTCAATTTCGACAGAATTTATTTGTGAAAGAGCCAGGGAAATTTACAAACATTTGAAAGAATATCAACCTGGTTCTTCTGGCACAGAGTTTGAAGAGTTTAGGGCCAGCAAGGACTGGTTTGAAAAATTTAGAAAAGAAGTGACATTTTCAGTGTTATTAGGCATCGTGAGGTTGCCAGTGTAGATAAAGAAAGAGCAGCAAAATTTGTAGTGTACTTTAAGGAACTGGTGGAGGAAGAAAATTATCTTCCACATCAAGTGTTCAATGTGGATGAAACTGGGCTGTTCTGGAAAAAAATGCCCAAAAGGACATTCATCACCAGAGATGAAGCCTCTTTTCCTGGGCATAAACCCATGAAAGACCGTCTCACTCTATTGCTTGGTGCCAATGTTTCAGGGGATTTCTGACTGAAGCCTATGCTTGTCTACCACTCTGAGAACCCCAGGGTGTTCAAACAACAAAAGGTGGTAAGAGGACAGCTTGGAGTTTATTGGAAGTCCAAACGTAAGCATGGGTGACAAGACAGCTCTTTAATGAATGGGCTGTTGAGGTGTTTTGCCCTACTGTGAAGAGCTACCTAACCACCAATAAACTCCCTTTAAAGGCTCTTCTCCTTATGGATACAGTAATGCCCCTGGTCATGACCCTGAATTTGCCAGCACTTTGGAGGCTCGATTTGACTTTGTCAAAGTGTTGTTTTTTCCTCCCAACACTACATCAACCATACAGCCAATGGACCAGAATGTGATCAGCAACTTCAAGAAGTTGTACATGAAGAAAATGTTCAGGAGGTGTCATCAGGCAACTTCCACTGATCCTGAACTAACACTGGCACAGTTCTGGAAGACACAATTTAACATCCTGGAGGCTGTAAAAATGACTGTGTCATCATGGCGAGAAGTCTCCATTAGATCCCTCAATTCTGCATGGAAAGCACTGTGGCCATCAGCAGTCCATGATTTTGAGGGATTTGAGGAAGAAGCAAAGTTGGACAAGGAGATTGTGTCCATTGGTCAGTCAATGGGCCTCGAAGTGGAGGAGGATGATGTGGAAGAGCTTGTGATGTCTCATGAGCAGAAACTTACTCCTGAAGGCTTGCAGCAACTGGATGAGATGTTAGAAGCTGACAGTGGTGAGGAGGAAAGGGAAAGTGATGACCATATGTCTACTTCAGATTTGAAAGAAGTTGTTAACTACTGGGAGAAGTTCAGGAAACTGACTTCAAGGCAACCTGATTTGGAAACAACAGAACCTATTTTGTGTAATATTGAGGACAGAGTGGTCTCCTTCTTCAAAAATCAGTTAATGATGAGGAGGATAAATGCTCCACCAAAAAAAATTGACAGTTTCTTCTCTAAGAGGCAGCGGGAAAAAGATGCTACCCTCTCAGCCTTCCACTTCAAAAAGGAGAGAGGATTTTCCTGCTGGAGAATCTGTCAGTCCAGAGGTTCCTGACATTTTTATGGAAGGTGACTCACCTTCCAAGAAGCAGTAAAATGCTTCTCCTCCACCCCCACTTCCTTCTCTTCTCCCTTCTCCTCCTCCACCTCCCACTTCAAATTCACATCAGCATCATCAACCAGGAGCCTTCTACATACACACCTCAAAGCAAGTGTACTTTACTGCATTTTTTTTTTACTTTATGTAATTTTCGGTGAGCTGGAACCAAATATCCAAAATCCCATTGAAACAATGGTTTCGTTTAACGAAATTTTCGGTTAACGAACGACCTTCTGGAACGAATTGTGTTCGTTAACCGAGGGACCACTGTATTGTTACATTGGCAAAATGTTTCTCAAGTACAAGTAAAAGCATCCAAATGTCAATGTATTCAAGTAGAAGTAAAAAAGTATCTCATTCATAAAGTATTCAAGTACTGAAAGTAAAAAGTAAGAAAATTATTATTTGTCTCAAATATTAAAATAAATCCACAGTAAATTATAAAAAAATAGTTAACTGGAGACAAAAATAAAAGACAAAGTACAGTATTGCACATGTTTATTTGCAAATCTTTCAAAAACAAATTTGCAAAATTATGGCTGTCCAATCAGGAAATTTTGGGCCTAAATATAAGCCCAGCATGATCTACAGAAAGAATATACGTTCAGCCGCTCTTCTCCCTACAATCCATCACAGGGATGGTGAATGAGCTGAAAATATATCCGTCCAACACAATGATCACTTTCTTCCCTATCCACACAATTATTGTTAACATGGAATTAAGGTCAGCAGCCATAATACAGTGTATTGTCTCTGCTCGCATTAGGTTAGGTTACAGACTTATCTGGCATGTATCTGAAGCGGGGGAGGACCTGCGCTTCTCTTCCTGTAAACTCTGTAATTGTCCCAATGCTAACACCCTTCAACAGTACAGTGAACCCTCAAAGATCAGGACTAAGAGGGGGGACCACCTGTCCGAAAAAGATAATTGTCCGAATCTTCCGGAGAATGTAATAAATGTATAAAAGCGATAAATAATTTTATAAAAAACACCAAAACTACAGTACTGTACATATTTACTGACCACTGGGGTTAGTTATACGGACTTTTTCCTGTGAAAAAGACATAATTTTGGACAACATATTACTGTACAGTATTACCCCGCTTTACGCGGGTTTTTTTTACGCGTTTCCACGTTTACGCGGTACCCTGCCAGACCCGGGATGCACACTTTACGCGGTGCGTGTACTCTATTACGTGGAGAGCAGCTGGCGGTCATCTCGCGCCGCGCCATTTTTGGATTCAAACCTCCCGCAATGTTGGGTAAGCGGCGCGAGTAGGTTGCGCAGTGTATGTCTTTGTTGCGTTATCGGTGACGTCATATGACGTATCGGACTGTGATTGGGCCAAGCATCCTTACCTCCCTCCCCTGCTAGCTGTGATTGGCTTAATGTAATACGACGTGGCCCGCCGCGGGAGTGTTCAAGCCCATTGACCTACCAGCATCAGTTACACCCCTCCCGGCTACACCGTGTATATTGGTGTCTATTGTTCCATAAGAATGGCTTCCACCGGACCAGCACTACCACCACAAAGAAACCTTGCATTACCTGGACCCAGCCGCCCTAAGCCAAAGAAGATACGACGTGCCCTAAGCTACGAAATTAAATACAAGATCATCGAAGAGTTGGAGAAAGGAACAAGACAGGTTGATTTGACGCGCCAGCATGGTGTGAACGAATCTACGATCCGGACGATCAAGAAGGATGCAGCCAAGATAAAGGAGCACATGAACCTCACTCTCCTCCCAGCTTACTTACCTTCCCCCTCCCCCCCTCCCAGTGTCGAACCATATGAAATCGCCAACAAACTCCTGAAATTTAAATCCAAACGCTCCACGACCCCAATTGACCTCCCAATCAAAATATACAAGGAGTTTGCAGTCGAACTTGCCACCCCCCTCTGTTCTATTATTAATGCATCCCTCAGACAAAGCAAATGCCCTAATGAATGGAAAACCGCATTTGTCACCCCCATCCCCAAGGTCACCACCCCACAGTCCCCTAACGACCTCAGGCCAGTTGCCATTACCCCCATACCCAGTCTACTTTGTGAGGGCTTTGTTTTTGAGTGGGCATTTGCCAGTATCTATCAGTCAATTGATCCACAGCAATTTGGCAATATGAGGACCTCCTCTACATCACACTGCTTGGTGAGCTTTCTGGATTTTCTGCACAAAAACTTGCAGAAACGTAAGACATCATTGGCCGTTGCCCTTGTGGACTTCAGGAAGGCCTTTGACCTTGTTGATCACTGCACTGTTATCAACAAGGCTATTGCACTAGGGCTGCCCACCAGCCTGGTCTCATGGCTCACTGATTTCTTGAGTGGACGTCGCCAAACAGTGAGGTATCAGGGCTTGGTCTCTACATTCCAACACCTCACCTGCGGTGTTCCCCAGGGGACCAAGATGAGACCACTGTGCTTCCTCATCCTGATCAACGATGCTCTGTCGGACACTCCTCACAGGTGGAAGTACGTGGATGACTGCACTGTGGGGGTTTCAGTTGACAACACCGCACC